TCGTCGCGGAGCCGCTGGCCATCGCCGTGCAGGGCCTCGGCCCGCGGCAGCAGGTCACGCTGCAGATGTCCTTGCGGGACGAGACGGGCGAGCTCTTCCAGGCCTGCGCCCGCTACCAGGCGGGGGACGACGGGGAGCTGGACCTCGCCCGCTGCCCCGCGCTGCCGGGAGGCAGCTTCTCTGGCCTGGAGCCCATGGGGCTGCTCTGGGCTTTGCAGCCCCAGAAGCCCTTCTGGTATATGGTGAAGAAGGACGTGCAGAGCCCCTTCCTCCTGCAGCTGGAGGTGTTTGATGGCCACGGGGACCCCCCCGGGCGGCTCCTGGCCCAGGCGCAGCATGAGCGGGCGTTCCTGCGGGACGGGGTGCGGAGAGTGCCGGTGCGAGAGGGGAGGATCCGGGCAACGCTTTTCCTGCCCCCCGGTGAGTACCGGCTGCGGCCATCCTGTTTTCCCTAAGCCAATGTTTTGTCAGTGCAAGCTGTTCCATGACCTGAGGTACTGGTTTGTACGGGTGGGGAGTAGGACCTATCGTCTCTGAGTTTCTGGAACTCCCAGAACATTTTTTTGAACAGGTTTTCTGATTTCTTAGACAGTCTTTCCACAGCTGAGATGCAGGCCCATAGGGAAGTAGTATTTTCTTCGTATTGCCAGAGCTGGTCAGCCACTACATCCACCATTGGTGCTTCTGCATCTTTCCAGCCCATTGTTGCCAATAAGCAATAATGGTGTGCTCTGTACAAACTTCTACCATATGTGTCAGGTACATTGGACTTCATCTGGATGTGTGGTGGACTGTGGGTTGTCCAGGTCATAATAAATCAGCTCGTGCAAACTTAATTCCCTCAGGTACTGGAGACTTCTCTCCATGATTGTCCATTTGCCTGGGTGACATATATCTTCCTTAAAGGGATACCTTTCCTTCATGGCTAACACATGGCTTATGTCCTTTTTCCAATCACCTTGTCAAAACCTGCTTCCCTAGACAGGGATCCCAGCTGTTTGGCTTCCCTACCCTCCAATTCTAAGCCACTGGCCCCATTATTCCAGCATCAGAGCAGCCAGGTGGCACTGTGCTCACTTGGATGACTACTGAAATCTTTTCGTATATCTCGCAGCTCACCCAGGGATAAGGGTCTTGTTCTCGCGATGGTTCATCTTCACCCCTGTGATTTTTTTTTTTTTTTGTGTGTGTGTGTATTACTTCTTCTGTATCAGGGTGACTGATATTGGCGCGGGTTAATTCTCTGGTTCAGTAGCCACAGTGCCTGTCATGGGCGTTGAAGTAGCCACAGTGCTCGTCACTGGGGTTGGAATAGCGCACCCGAATCCACACCAAGTGCCAGTAGCAGATGGGGTGGTATTTTTAAATAGTTGTTTAACCCTAAGCAAGACCTGAAACACATTCAGAAGACCTAGAAATAAGAGCATGCTGGTTTGAGCATCCCAAGGATATTCAAAATTCTCAAGAGCTGTTCTAATTAGCCTGGAGGAGAAGCGGAAGGCGAAGGAAGCTGTCTCCCCCACAGATTGGGTCTCCGAGGAGAAAAGGTAAAAAGTGTAATTACTAATAGTTTCCGTCAGATGGCTCCCGAAGAAGGGAAATTAAACCGCCGCTGCCCCCGCTCTGCTAGTTTGTCATATTGTAAACCCGCATAACAAAGCACAGCAAAATTATAATCTCGACCCAGTTTCCAGGGATGATAAACTGCACAACAGGGAAAATATACAGCAGGAAAGGTGTTACAAAACACAACCCTGAGAACAAGCACAACAACTTTGAGAGCTAATAAATCAACATTGTAACCCCTGACTATTAACCGAATACAATGAATGCTTATAACAATTTTTTTCTAACACGTTCTAGTCAGGTTTGCTGTTGATCCCACATTGGGCACCAAAAAGGACCGTCATGGTTTAACGCCAGATGGCAATTAGGTCTATGCGACCATTTGCTCACTCCCCGCTTCCCTCCCTCCCCCAGCCCCAGTACTGTAGGGAGAAGAAGGAGAAAAGGAGGTGGAAAAAAAATCGTGGGTTGAGATAAAGAGCAGTAACAGAAGAGGGAAAAAAATAATAATAGTAGTAGTAGTAGTAAAAGAATATACAAAATAAAGTGATACAACACAAGTTGCTCTCACCACCTGATGATCAGTTGCCTAGCCTGTCCCAAGCAGTGATCGTGGATTCCTGCCCCCGGGCCAACCCCCATTTATATACTGAGTGTGACATCTATGGTATGGAATATTCCCTTGGCCAGCTTATCCTGTCTATGTTCTCTCTCAGCTTCTATGGAAAGACGAAAAAGTTCTTGACTAATGTAAACATTACTTGGCAACAACTAAAACAATATGTGTTATCAACATTATTGTAGTACTAAATCCAAAACACAGCAGCTACTAGAAAGAAAATTAACTCTATCCCAGCTGAAACCAGGAGAGCCCTGCTACACTCAGCTGCACCGTGGGCCACAGACAGCTGCGCTCCTGGCCTCTGGGGGTACACAGCCACTGGTTTGAATGTTCCCCATCTACAGAGAGCCAGTAGATGTGCTGTTGCCTGTACGCAAACAGCGACTGAAGGAAGAGCACAGTAAGTCTCTCCTCAGTCCAAGGCAGAGAACGAGCAGATGCTATGCAGTCCCCTCTCCTCTCTGACTCCCAGCAGCAGGTTCCCACCTTCCACCTGTAGCACTGTTTGAGGATGAACCAGCCACTGTGGTGCAGGGCATGAGACTGTGGCAGGAGGGCACCCTGAAGAGTGGGAAACACGAGCACACTCAGGCCTGTGGCTCTCCTGAAGCCAAGAGTAGGGGTGAGATGGGTCTTACCCACTCCCCAGCATGGCCAAGGACACCTTCTCTGACCTGGAGCCTGTGGAGGTTCCTTGGGCCCTGCAGTCCCCAAACCCCTCAGGCTGTAGGAATGCAACATGCAGGGCACCCTTTTCCCTTGCACTGGGTGGACAGGAGCAGGATTTTCACAGGATGAGGAAAAGAGGATCCAGGGCCAAGATGGGAAGATCCAAACAACGAACTTCTGATCACACAGTGAGAGACCCATGGCGTCCTATGCAGAATTTGATACTGATCGCAGTCAGAGACAGGATCCCCAGAGAGATGAAGTGCTGGCTGAAAGGATCCCAAAAGCCAAATACAAACAAAAATGCTTACAATTTCTAGTTTAATACTATTAAATACATCAAATTGTGACACCTTCAGGATTTTTACAGCGCCAGGTGAATTGGTCATTGTTACAGGGCTTCTTAGAGGGAGAAGAAAAGCTGGGACAAGACACCTTCACCAAACAGCCCCTGCCTTTTGGCCCAAAGCACAGTGCAGAAATACTGCGGATTCCTAAAAGCAAAAAAGGGTTTGCATTTTACCCAAGAGGTTCTGCTCCTAAGCCTTTCTTCCTCTGCAACATACTCTAGAGTTTTTCCAGATGCTGACACCACACAGCTGAGTGACTGAGTATGTCTTTCCCCAAAAGATGCTTCTTTGCAGGTTCCTGATGGGTGCCTCATTTGATGCGTTCTAAAGCAGAGAAACATTCAAAGGAGTCATTTCGGGCAATACAGCTCTTTGTCTTGTCTCCTCCAGGAGAAGACCCCTTCCCAGGCATCATCGACATACACGGACTCGGGGGAGGTCTTTTTGAGCACAGGGCCAGCCTGCTGGCCAACCATGGCTTTGCCACACTGGCCCTGGCTTATTATCAGTATGAGGATCTGCCCCAGGAGCCAACTGAACTCCACCTGGAATATTTTGAAGAGGCAGTGAACTATATGCTCCAGCACCCACAGGTAGGAGCACCTTCCACATCCCCTGGGCTTCAGGGAGCACTTCTCCGAAGGGCCTGTCCCTTTGCTTGAGGTTTCTCTGGAGGAAGCTGCTGAAATGCTCACCTGGCTCCATCTGCCAGGACTCTGGGTGCCTGGGCTGTAGGAAAGAGGAAGGGTTATACAGATATGCACTGGGAGAGTGGTGGAGGGAGATCACAAAGCCATCTCACAAGAGACACCCCAGACACAGCAAGGTGGGAAGGTTGTGCAGGAGAGAGCCTTCACAAATTGCCACCAAATGTCCTCCTACAGTCTTAAAAGTGGAAGGTAAAGAGCATCTGCCAGTGTCTGAGACTAATAACTCTTAGCTGTGTCCCACAACCTGTCCTCAACTTGGTGAAAACACGTTCCCACTCTCTTGGCTGATGTCAGTGCACCAGGGAACATTATCAAAGGCAGCAGTTTGAAGGGGGAGGCGTGCTTGGCACTTGTGCAGAAGAAAAGCTAGTCATTGCCATCACCTCCTTCACAGTGTTTTGCAAACTCGCAGCATTAAACAATGTTCCCCACCAGCAACTAGCTGCTGTGTTTTTCAGCTCAGTACTGATGGGCATTTCCTCCTCTCTACCAGGTGAAGGGACCAGGGGTTGGACTGCTCGGTTACTCCAAAGGAGCCGATCTCTCTCTCGCCATGGCCGCCTTCCTGAAGAACATCACAGCCGTTGCTTCCCTCAATGGCCCTGTGGCCATTACTTCTACTCCTCTCCGTTACAAGGATAAAGTTATCCCCTCTTTGACCATCAATGAAGAACGGGTCAAGATCATTGACTCCAATATTCTTGATTGTTCTGACATCCTGATTGACCCCTTTCAAGCCCCTGGCAACCAAAGCCTGATCCCACTAGAGAAAGCTGAGGCACAGTTACTGTTCATCACGGGACAAGACGACCGGGTTGTCAAAAGTGAGTATTATGCTACTGAAGTCTGCAAACTTTTGCAGGCTCAAGGGAAGGAGAATTTTCAGATGCTCTCCTACCCGGGAACAGGTCACTGCATTGACCCTCCCTATTTCCCTTTGTACCCCATAGGAAACCATCCCATTTTGCATAAGCGGGCAGTCCTGGGTGGGCAGCTTGGGGCTTATTCTAAAGCCCAGGTTCATGCTTGGCCACAGATCCAGGCTTTTTTCAACAAGTATTTAAATGACAACTAATGTGCAAAAAATAACGAGCGAGCAACACACAACTTTGAACAACTAGGTCTGATAAATTCTTTCACACTTACCAGCTCAACCCTTGTTCACAGGGTTTGATGCAGCTACAGTATCTTCCATGACTTTGCACATCCGTAACTCAGAAAAGAACTGGGTTTGCCTTTTCTTGTTTTTCCTAAATTTTTTTGCTCAATTGTCAAGAAAATGAATGGCAAATAGATTTGCATTGCTGGCTTCTGGGTACTTCTGGCCCTAAGATGTCAGGCAAAAAACAGTGTGTGGAATTTACAGCTGTTGTGATCTTCCCTTACATGAACCTTTTCACCTTCATTATTAGGGTGAGAATTGTAATAAACAGCCTGAGATTTGAAAGCCATGGAGTCATTTGCTGTGCTTTGGCTAGAAGCAGGGATCTTTGCATCTCAACCACCCGCACACCCTAGGGCGGTGTAGGGGCCCTGTAGTTGGAAAGGCACCGAGGGCCTCCTGCCTGTCCTCAGCAGAGCAGCCACCCTCACCCCAAGATGTCAGTGTGTGATGAACCGCCACCAGCAGCCCCAACTGCTTTGTCCTTCTCCTGCCTGTCAGGGGCCATCATCCCTGTGCATCCTGAAGGGCTGCCACCTCCCTCGTGGATGCCATCTCCTACCACCCTGCTCAACCAGCCATCCAGGGTGTCTCCAGGCTCTGGGTGTCCTCCCGGCCAGCCTGGCACACCGGGGCAGACCTCAGAGCTGGCAGCTGCCTCTCAGCCCCGTCCTGTTTTCTGCTCCTGAGCATCCTCATTCAGGGCACTGGAGCCTTTCCCTGCCTCGCAGGTTTCATAATGGATGTGATCAGCAGTGCTGGATGACACCTGTGGGCCTGTTCGGGCACAGGGACGGCATACTCTCTGGGTTTGGGCAAGAAGAGAAGGTGGCAGAACCAGAGGGAGGGAGGAAGGGACAGGAGCCTTGGAGCAGCCTGTGGCCACACCAGCTGCCATCCTCTGGCAAGATGTGCAAGACTGCACGTCCCAGGAGATGCCAGGAGAGCAGCTCCAGGCTTGTGGGGCTGTCTCATCCCTGAGATGCTCCCAGACCATGGCCCCATGCGCCCTCACTAGCAACACAGGGCCACACCAGCCCCTCTTGGGATGCCCCTGCTGAGCAAGGTGGGCTCCCGTCCCATATGAGCTCCTGCAGAACATCTTCCCCCAGGGGTTAGGTGGAACCTGAGCCCTGAACATGCCACATTGCTCTGACTGGAGCCCCACACCAAGGGCTGATCACAGATTTCCCCCAGGACTCCTTCAGGTACTTCCTGCAGCGGCAGGAGACCTCTCTCCACATGGCCTGTGTCCTGGTTTGAGCAACACAGGACTAATTTCTCTTTTAATGCTAGGGAAAACTACACTCTAGAACACTCTAGTGTATGAATTTGTGAAAATATTTACTTTATACCCAGCTATGGTATGTGGGTTTCCTTCTCCTGCCTGTCAGGGGCCATCATCCCTGTGCATCCTGAAGGGCTGCCACCTCCCTCGTGGATGCCATCTCCTACCACCCTGCTCAACCAGCCATCCAGGGTGTCTCCAGGCTCTGGGTGTCCTCCCGGCCAGCCTGGCACACCGGGGCAGACCTCAGAGCTGGCAGCTGCCTCTCAGCCCCGTCCTGTTTTCTGCTCCTGAGCATCCTCATTCAGGGCACTGCAGCCTTTCCCTGCCTCGCAGGTTTCATAATGGATGTGATCAGCAGTGCTGGATGACACCTGTGGGCCTGTTCGGGCACAGGGACGGCACTCTCTCTGGGTGTGGGCAAGAAGAGAAGGTGGCAGAACCAGAGGGAGGGAGGAAGGGACAGGAGCCTTGGAGCAGCCTGTGGCCACACCAGCTGCCATCCTCTGGCAAGATGTGCAAGACTGCACGTCCCAGGAGATGCCAGGAGAGCAGCTCCAGGCTTGTGGGGCTGTCTCATCCCTGAGATGCTCCCAGACCATGGCCCCATGCGCCCTCACTAGCAACACAGGGCCACACCAGCCCCTCTTGGGATGCCCCTGCTGAGCAAGGTGGGCTCCCGTCCCATATGAGCTCCTGCAGAACATCTTCCCCCAGGGGTTAGGTGGAACCTGAGCCCTGAACATGCCACATTGCTCTGACTGGAGCCCCACACCAAGGGCTGATCACAGATTTCCCCCAGGACTCCTTCAGGTACTTCCTGCAGCGGCAGGAGACCTCTCTCCACATGGCCTGTGTCCTGGTTTGAGCAACACAGGACTAATTTCTCTTTTAATGCTAGGGAAAACTACACTCTAGAACACTCTAGTGTATGAATTTGTGAAAATATTTACTTTATACCCAGCTATGGTATGTGGGTTTCACTCTAGTGTATGAATTTGTGAAAATATTTACTTTATACCCAGCTATGGTATGTGGGTTTCAAGGTCTCAGTGTTTTCGAGTTAGGCAGGTGCAGGGATGAGGAGGAGCAAGACCCGGGCACTTGACCCAAGCTGGCCAACAGGATTGTTTCATACCATGAATGTCACATTCAATATAAATTGGAAAATTTGCTGCAAAGCTCTCTCTCTCCCTTGATGGCTGCCATCCTGAGGACTTCTTGACCCAATGCTGGACGCCCAAGGCCTTCCCTTCCTCCCGAAGCCATAGTGCTCGCAGTGTCCAACATTTGCTGTCCACTGCTGGGAGTGCACGGCTTCCTACTGATAGAATTGGCTGAATACAATCCGTGTATATTTTATATTGGTATCACAATAAATACTGGTTCTTTAGTATTATTAATGCTAATTATTTGGTCTTACTCTATTAAATCTGTTTATATTTCAACCCTTGGGTTTCCTTGTTTTTTCCAGATTCGCCTGCCAGGGTGGGGAGGGGTCATCAGGTGAGAGAATAATTGTCTAAAAGACAATAAATTGTTGTGACTTTCTCAAGCCATAACACCTTGGACTGGGACAGGAGCTGGAGCAGAGGGGAGTGGAGGGGTGCTCTGTGCCAGACCCTGCCGTGCAGCCCCACCACTGTCCCCATGCCTGCAGCTGGTCACACATGACAATGCCCTCTTGGGTTCAGGGCAATGTCGCAGGGGTGGCCTTTCTGGGGGCAGCAGTGCACGGGGGTGGCAGGAGCAAGCTGCCAAAATGCTCCCAGGCTGTGGTGCCAATTGCCTGCAGGTCTGCATGCAACAAAGCAGTAAACTTTTCCAAAGGGAGCCTGCGGCTTGGCCAAGCTCAGCAGAGGAAAGACGAAGCCTGTGAGATAAGCCCAGGGAGGAGGGCTGCAGCCGCGCCTTCGCCTGGATCCCGTCCTGCAGGGATGGTAACCAGCAGCCCTGGCTGAGAGAACTGCCACCACAGCAGATAAGCACACTGTTTGTCAACGAGTGTCTGGGAAGAGCTGCTGCCCTTTGGAGAGGCTCCCGCAATACCAGGGAACTGGCTGTGCCAATCCCATCTTGCCTTTGGGGTTGAGAGGGCGGCAGTGGTGACTCCAGGCATCCAAGGACATCGCAGAGCACCATGTGTGCCCATGCAGCTCCTGCCCCGGTTCCCCTCCCCTCCCCTCGCCGGTGTGTGGGAAGCTGCATTCATAAAAGAAGACTCCGCCT